ACCAGTTAATAAATAATAATAATAATAATAATAATAATAATAATAATTTAAGGTAGCTAGCACCAATGAGAATTGTTTGGTATAAAGAAAGTTCAGAAATATAAAATGAGAATGTAGGATAGGCATAAAATTTCTCTGTACGTGAGTGCTTCATTCTAATGGATTAGTGATAAACTAATATTTAGGTAGAAAGCTCTTTACCTAATATTGACTTAATAATTGTTTAAATTGATTGCTACATTTAAAAAAAAACACTCAGTTACGTATTTAACATTATAATACTTTATAAATGTATGATTATGGAATATAAATTGACCGAATAATTTTAAGACGTGTCTTGTTTGAACTACAAAATAAAATGAACATATTTTTTGGATAAATGATTGGAGGTATATAGTCTTGTACAATCATCATGAACAAAAATATTAAGCTTGTTTTAATGCCAGAACTTGTTTAAGTAACCTTAATCATAAGAGAAATGCTATAAATACATACTAGTGTACATAAAGGTGTACATAACACTCACATTAAGTGGGTCCTACTAAAAATAAAAAGAAAAATGCTACAAGTACATAATAAATGTACATAGAGGTGTACATAACACTCACATTAAGTGGGGTCTACTTGATTTTTTATTTTTGGTAGGACTCGCTTAATGTGAGTGTTATATACACCTCTATGTATATTTATTATATATTTGTAGCATTTTTCTTTTTATTTTTGGTAGGATCCACTTAATGTGAGTGTTATGTACACTTTTATTTACACTATTATGTATTTATAACATTTCTCTTATGATTGAGGTTACTTAAACAAGTTCTGGCATTAAGTCCTACCAAAAATAAAAAATCAAGTAGACCCCACTCAATGTGAGTGTTATGTACACCTCTATGTATAGTATTATGTACTCTTAGCATTTCTCAAATAAAAAATCAAGTGTACCACATTCCATGTGAGTGTTATGTATATTTTTATGTATATTTATTATGTATATGCAGTATTTTTCTAAGAAAAAAATATATGAAATGCAAAAGATGTTTATTTTAAAGAAAATCCCAATCTATTCCTTTTCTTTTCCCATTCCTTTCTCCAATCTCTTCCAAATTCCAATTGTTGCCTAAGGAAATTATTTTATTAATAAATATAAAATAAAGGGGTCCCCCATTTAATTAATTTTATCATTTAGTTAAGGGTCAACTCTGCCCATAACCGATGGGGGTACGTCGTATAATACCGCCTAATCTATTTCTATTCTTAGAGTTGGGAAACAAAAGCACGAAAAGATATTAATTTAATTTCCATATACTCTCTCCCACAAACACAGCTGCGCACAGCCAACCAACCAAAATCCTCCGTTGCATTCTCTTTTATAATAAGAAAATTACGTTAGGTTGTAGTATTTAACTATTAAATATTTGTTTAAAAGTCCCCAATTAGAAATATTCTAATTAGACATGCATTGTCATGTTTGGCACTTGGGCGTGGGATGAGATTTGTTATTCCAAAATGTAATTCATATTTTATTCCATTAGATAAATAACATGTGTCCATATAATAATGACTTCATAATTATACATGTGCGGATTATACAATGAAATAAAACAAGAATTAGAACATGATATTAAAACATGAAATATTTTCCCTTATCTCATAACAAATAGCTGATTAAATTTGTGGATGACTGATAGCTGATAGAATTAGTAATTTTTGATTATATGGTTTAATTAGCTGATTACGCAAGGTGTTTAGTAAATAATTAGAGGTTTGAAGTCTAAAAGTAACTAATTTTAAAATCTCTATTAAGAAAACTTCTATTTTAAACGTTCTGAAAATTAATTTGGGGGTTCAAAAGTTATTTTAAGCGGTACTTAATTACCAGTTACCAAACTTCTAAATTCTAATTTAGTCATAAAATGCTAATTAGCATGTAATTAAATTAAAATATGTCCGGATATATATAAGTGTTGAAATGAGAAATGTATGGCATCTTAGATGATGCCATGAATACAACAAAAGATGGCGTCTATTTTTGGGCCGGAATGCAAAGAAACTTAAAATGAGGTTTTTACACATGGACATGCAGCTTAGTGGCCAATCATTGTGATTGTAAGTGGGTAGGATTATTAAAATGTGCTATCACACCCCGGAAAGAATCTGCATGCAAATGAAAGATTACAAATAATTTTCTCGCCTACACAAAAGACCCTCACATGCCTAGGGACCATTATCATGAAAAAAAAAAAGTGAAAGGGAAAATATTTTTCTTTGTTTCCATTATTTAAGACTTCATAAGNATTTATACTATGAAATGTCATAGTTTTTATTGTGTTGTTTTTAAAAGTATATTATTTCAGTTTGAAAGTATCACTTTTATAGAAAAAAATGTGTAACTGCCTAACCATTTTGTACCTAGTTAGATTATTACTGTGACTTTTAATTTGATAACAAATGGAGGAATCAGGAGACAAGAATCTCGTTTAATATATTAAGGCCTTGACAAAATTGAAATAAAAGGTGTTCAAATTTTAATTACAACGAGACAACGTATCAAAATAATTGGCAAAAACCCGCAAAAAAATCGTAGACTCGTATTTCTGTAGATGATTGCATATGTTGGCAGTTATACATCATATACATATTCGCAATAGTGGACTTCACATCTTACAATTATTGACTATAATTATTCTACCATTCATGATATCAGTCCCATGTTTGATGTTCTTTATATATATATATGCATGGGAGAGAACATTTAAAAGTGACCGAACAAATATTCATTCAGCAGGGTATATATCGCAATCTTCGATGGCCAAAAGTAAAAGCACAAAATTGATGAACGTAATTATATTATATATATATATATATATATATATATATAAATATATATATATATATATATAGCGTGTGAAAAATATTCCCTTTAATTTTGAAAATGATAATTGTGGCCGGTAACTTTTGCATTAACAAAAAGTACCCAGTAACTAATCAAATAACAAAGTTTCTACTCAAATATGAGTTAGTAATCATAATTTTAGAATTAATTGCTGATTTTTGCATGATTAATTATACATTTTTGGACATACTCAGTTCGATTTTACTAGTTAGTCGTCGTTTTATGCAATCACGAAATTTATTGGGCAAATTCGCCATCTGGGCATATTTTATAATTTTGCCAATAATGAAACATAGAGAAAAAAACCTAATTCATTTTAGGAATTAGACCACCATATATATTAA